GTGAATTATCCATGAGCTGCTTTACACAAGCCTTACGCGTTAATATTACCGCCATGACGCCATCTTGCATGTTTGTGCCGGAAGTGCAGCACGGGACGCGGCGGACGCAGTGAATTTGGAGGCTGGAGCGACTGGTGAGTGTTAAATGTTACGTATTTTATTGCCTGTAGGTATCTTTAAGTGCAAAATGCATATTTTGATTGAAAATGTACCTATATGTGCACTCACACAACACTAGGTACTGATACCTTGGGTTGTCCTGTGGGTTGGTTGACCCTCCTAGTTATGTATTGTCTATAACATTAAAGCCTTTTTGAGGGGTTCATAATATCCATCAAAATGTGGAATATCATATCAGTCATGCTCAACATGCCCCTACAGTGAAACCTAACATGTTATTCTACGGGCAGCTTTGCCAGCGTGAAGCCTAACAGAATAATTAAACATCAAGTATTTTCTTTAAGCCTTTGCCTATAGCATCTATTTCTGCCAGCCCCTAATGCTCAAACCCTGGTGCAAACATCTATAGGTTAGGATAGGTGGTATATGTGCAAATGAAGTTCGAGTGGTAGGCATGTGGAAGGTTGTATGTTGTAAGATGTAGGCTGGTAGATTGCAGGTACCTATTTAGGTTGTAAGGTCTAGTTAGTAGGTTATAAGGTAAGGCTGGGTCAGCTTTTCATCATGTTTTTCATCTTCCTCGTAGTTCATCTAGTATTTTTGTAATAAACGACTTGTAATTGAATCATTTGGCCGAATCCTTCTAAAAATGAGCACCCCAAGTGCTTCTTCAAAAAGCCCACCCCTGCACCCCCCAAGAGTGAGATCTGGATACCAGGCATGGTCGAATTGATTCTATCATGATGTTCTCATCTCCTCAGCTGGACGGTGCCATGGAGGCCACTTTCTCAGAGAGGCGACACCTCATCATCAAGAGGAAAATCCCGATGGCCACCATCCGTCGTCGATGAAAACAAAGTATGTACATTGTCATAGATAACATGAATCATTGTACATAAATGTACATGGTTTGATGCGTAGTAAATTAGCGTCAGAGTCAGGTGGTTTGGTGCGTGCAACTGCAGACGCGCCTTCACCGGCTCTCAGAGTCAGTTTTCTTTCTGAAGCTCATCTTGAGTTATTTTGCATCCGCCCTCATGTGTATTTTGTTTCCCTTGCCTTTGTTACCGACAGACTAAGGCCAATATCCGAAAATGATTCGATCCACAGGATCCAAGAGCGCAGTTCTTCTATCTGATTATAAATTCATCAATACTTTTTGGAGACCCTGCTGGTCCTTGATCCAACATGTTTCTTTTGTCGATGAATATCGGCGATCTAGAATCTTACATTTTTGCTCTGTGGATTGATTCTGGGGATCTTGTATCCTACATTTAGTCTCTGAGAACACATTTTTCTTGCTAAATTTCAAAATGCTTTGCATTAGCGAGGCGTACAAGGTTGTTAAAGAAGTCTTTGTGCACAACCTGCTTCGCTGGCCCTAAAGTTCAAACTTAACGCTTAATTTTATGTCTACAGACATGACATTTACGTTGGATCCAGGAAATTTGAACTCTGGCATTTCTTTCTCGCGTGGGGTCCGGAATCCTAAAGTGTTATTTATACGTGCGATCCAGGGGATCTTGGATCCTAAAATTATATTATATTTTTCAATGAGATCAAGGAGATCCAGTATTCTGAAATCCTGGCATTACATGGGATCTTGCGGATCTTGGATCTAGATTTTTGGCTGAGGCACAAGTCTGTACTTATACCGACAATGCATGCATAACCCCAGGGTCATGTCCGCCGCACGGTAGGGATTGCGAGAGTTACTAATGCTACTGTAAAACAGATGTGCTTGTGTGACATCGCATTTGCATGACCACCGATAACGGAACTGGATTGGCAGTTAATTTTCAGACGCTGCAGTAAGAAGTAGAAGAATTTAAGCCGGCCATGCGAATATCGATGGCGTCTTACTGGTATAGTCGTCCTTCAGCATGCGTCATTAATCCTTTGTTTTCAGGTCTGGAAAGAGCTGAGTCGGATAAAAAATGCCGACTTGCAGGACACCAACGAGTTGGAACTCTCCCGGGAAGCCATGACCCCGATTGTGGACAATGGCGAAGGTGAAAGAGCAGCTGGATGCCTCACAGATGGTAAGTTAACAACATTTTACCCGGGAATGTTGGAACCGTAACCGAATAGGTACCAAAAGCTCATGTATTTATGAACGTCCTGTTAACAGTTTGATATACTCGTATACACTTACACGGAAAGTATTTAAAAAAGAGCAGAAAAATGTGAAATTTCATTCGTGCTTCTTATAAGAGATCATAGAAGTTCATCGTTATATCCACTGTAGTAAACTACAGTGGATACTCAATACCTATAGGCATTGAGTATGATTAACACATTTTTATCGTCAATTTCAAAGTAATATATGCGAGCACTATTTACTCTAAACATATTTTAATGTTATGCTCACAAGCATCTTCTAACCCGCACCCCGCGGGAGTTCCTGGATTTCCAGGCCCTGCTGGGGAAGGGGGAGGAAACGTTTGAACCCCCTTTTAACTTAGCTCCTGGGCCATGTAGCGATACGGCGAAGGCGGCGTTCGAAAGGACGTCAAAAATAAGGAAGAAATTATTTGGTCACTTTTTTGGTCAGGTCAAAGGTCAGGTCACCAGAGGTCATTGAATGCAAAAGTTCACCGATTTCCAGGTTAAATTTTGATAATTTTCAATTTTTGACAACATTCAAATTTTGATCAGATCAACGCATAGCTCGGAAACTAATAGAGCTACAAAACCACAGAAAAGCGCCTTTGATAGCCCATTTACGCTCTTTCTGATTAATTCTCTCATATTTGACCTGCCGTCAGTGGTTTTGCATGCGGGGGAGGGGTAAAAACTGCCAAAATAGATATATATTTTTTCTGAAAGTTTTTCAGCAAAAACTTTTGACTTAAGCCTTTCACGTACTTTACCGGAATCGTGTTTCTCTCGGCAAGACGCATTGAATAAACTATTATGTTACCTTGAAAGGTTAACTTAAAAATTTGACCTCAGTTCAAGGTCATGACCTGACCGATAAGGGTCAGGTTGCATATCAGTTGATCCGTTCGTCGAGATGAACACAACGAAGGTGTTTTCACCGTTCTATGCCTCTATCAAAAGTTCTTCGCGAAAAACTGTCAGATACCATTCGTGACCTGAGATGTCATCAGGGGCATAAAACGGGGTCACGGGTGCCATTTTCATGTTAAGTGTGGTTGCACTAATTGCTTATATGCCTGCTTTACCATATCATCATCGATGAAAACACTGAAATAAATTATAAAATACAGATATTTGCTGTAAAAGAGATTAGGTGCAGATTTGGTCAAATTAGGTGCACTCGCCGGGTAGCCCGTCGCGAAAACGGCCAATATGACTTACGGCCAATATGACTTACGCCCAAAAGAGGCGCCTTTCGATTGTCTCCAATTTACTTACCTTTAACTGAGAGGTCGCAAAATTCACATGACCTTAGGCCATCGACATCAAAATGCTAAGATAAACATTTTGTACAAACTGTTGCTCTTATCAATCGCTGCAAGTTTCAAAGCAATCGGTCACTAGGGTGAAGCTATGGTAGGCTTTATAACTTTTTAAGTAGTGAGGTCACTTGGCTTGACCTGGCGACCTGACTTTAGGTGACACGGAGCGCCGCCGTTTTTTTGAGATATTCGCGAAAATCCACAGAAGGGGTGTTCAAACACCCTCCCCCTCCCCCAGCAAGACGTGGGTTAAAATTGCGAGAGGCATACTGTACCAAATTAAAGTTTGCAGTTCGTGGCCTTGATTTCTGAAGGTAAATTTTTCCGTCGCAGACGATGCGATCGACCATCTTCTCTGCACCGTCCTAAAGAGCACCAAGTTGTGTTCACATCGGCGCCGCAGCCACGGCCTCATGTGGCGGACGACTTCCACGCCATAGAGGGCGTGCCAGCAGTGCAGTTTAAGGAGCTAACGGCAAAGGTGAACAAGCTGCTGACGTGGGGGGCCGCGTTCACAGTGTTTGCGCAGTCGTTCAACCGCCCAGCCATCCGTCTGGCCGGCTACCTGATGTGTGCCGTGATCCTGAAGACCGATGTGTCGCCGCCCCGATGACCGGCTGCGTTTAGGAGTGCACGGGGAGGGACATGAGGCAGCACTTTAGGGACTTTCTGTCTCTTTTTGTGTTTGTGTTTCTGCCGGGTAGTTTTGCAAAGAAATGGCGTTAACGCTTTTTCATGCGTGTAGGCCAAGTTCATGTCTGGAAGGGCATGAGCGTCGTGCTGTGTTCATCACCCTTGTTCATATGATTAATGATGTAATAGTCGTGGTTTATCTGCATGCTATGCATTGTTTTAATAAACCTTATGTTTTAATGTTATGACTCTCATCTCATGGGTGAGGCTGACCGCCAGGGGATGAGTCGACAGAGTGGAAAAACCGGCGGCAGAGCGATCTAATAGGTGTGTTCACTTGACCATCATGTTATGAGTTACATTTAACTCGCGTATCAATCGTTGCATGGCATGAGTTACTAGCAATGCTTGAATTCGTCACAAACGGTAAACTCATGTGGTATGAGTGAGGGAACGAGAGTTAACCCGCAACTCATTGGTGATGTGACCGCTACAGGGCTAGTAACATTTACTAGCGCCTCATGTAGTCAAACGTGTGGTGTCTTCATTAACGGTGTAATATGAGTAAGCCTATACTCGCATATCATGAGTAATCAAAATGAGTTACCAAGAGTACATGAGTTTTTCACAATCGGTTAACTCATAATACACGAGTGAAGAGACATGAGTTAACGCACAATTGAGAGGTGGAATGACCGGTGCAGGCCTAGTTACATTACCGGCGCCTCGAGCAGTCAAATAGGTTGTTTAAAATTACCGCCGGTTTATGAGTTTACTCATCACCCATGGGTAATTTTGTTTTCAGTGAGCCCCCAAGAAACACTACACAGAACATCACAACACCGCACTCACACGTGACGATCTCGTGACCAACACATCCATCCTAGCACACTGTCAGGATCGTAGACGGCTCGTCACACTTGAAACAGTGTACATTCGCGACAAAAAGCCAATCATCAACATTCAGACAAAGCTGAACACATCTCTATCACTGTACGACAAAGTACTCGCGGCGGGTTGACTGATTTATCTGTCATATGCGCGTACGTATCTCGCTATGGTGTTTTTGATGTGACCTTCCTTCGCGGAGGATGAACGAATGTGTTTAGGGTTATAGCTCATGTACGAAAACAAAAGTGTGTTATTTTGTTTTGTATGCTGTGACTCATCGACTGAATAGTTTTAGTATCATATCCGTAATATTTGTTCCAAAAATGTAATTGAACCCATTTATCTCAAAGTATGACTTCTAAAACTGTGTGACTGTAATTTTCTTGAAAATGATCTCTGATAGATCGAAACGTCGAACAACAATATAGCTATGATATTTTGTATTTATGACATCTTTTGGTAATATTTTACATTCTCACGAACCCGAACCTCGACAGTGCATTCGCCGCCTCGAAAGTCTTAATAAGAAGAAGATAAGTGCCCATTATGCTGTTGTGTTTAACAAAACTTGCATAAAAGAGAACCTGCTTCCGAACTATTCGAATCTACGATTACACGATCGAGCAGTACAGCAGGAGGACTTTGTCTATAAGTTTAGACAGAGCTTGACGGGTGAACAGCTTAAAGCCCAAGAAGATCTTATTAATGACCTTGAGGTAAAGATCGAGGAAGAGAAGAAAAGATATGACACGTTCGTAATAAGCCAGGACTTACGAAAGAAGACAGATGAACTTTTGGACAACATCTTGATTGAATATGAACAAGTAGTGAAAACACGCATCCTTAAGAAGCTATCTCATCTCTACAAAGGCCCTATCGCTCTACCTGGTAACCCTGCGGGCTTCATCAATCTTTCCAGCGTCCAACTGACTTCTGATCAAGAAAAGTTCCTGAACCTAGGGTTGAATTGCCATTTTTACCCAAAGTTTGACCCCCACAAGAAGAAGACTGAAATAGCTCTACTCTTCGATGACCTCTGCAAACTGCATGATAAAGGTCAGATCACTCTTAAACCAGAAATTCAACCTCAACTCCAAGCCGAAGCGGCCAAGAGACGGATTAAGCCACAACACAGTGTTCTGACTCCAAATCTAAGAAAAGCCGCACAAGAGCTGCGCAATAATGATGACATTGTGATTAGACGTGCTGATAAGAGTTCGATCTTTGTGATTCTCGATAAGGAGGACTACTACAGCAAAGTGCGCTCTGTGCTACAAGACACTGCTAAGTTTAAGCGCATCACTAGAGACACTACCGCCGCGCTAAAGACACGGGTTAACAAACTGGTCGATGCTGCCAACGCTGTGGTTGATGGGGTTCACTTGCAAAAAGTCACAGGTGAGTGTAGCCCCGGTTACTTGTATGGGAATGTAAAGACGCACAAGCCAGGCCAGCCTATTCGCCCTATCATATCCCAGATCCCGACTCCCACTTACCAGATAGCTAAACAGCTGAATGCGATTATCTCGCCGTATATTCCGTCTGAGCACTCTGTTCAATCGACCGATGAATTTGTCGACATTCTTAGGTCCCAGAAACCAAAAGGTTCTCTAGCCTCTCTAGATGTGGAGAGTCTGTTCACTAATGTACCTGTTCAGCAGACTATTGAGATCATTCTTGAGTATGTCTACAATCATGAGACCCTTCCACCACCGAGACTACCCAAACGCATCCTGGAGCAGTTGCTGCTATCGTGCACAACGGAGGCGCCGTTCAGGTGCCCTGAAGGCAAACTCTATGTACAGGTGGACGGGGTCGCAATGGGATCCCCACTAGGCGTTCTGTTTGCCCAAGCCTACATGTCCTATGTCGAAAGGAAAGTGCTGCTCTGTGATGATGTCAAACCGTTCATGTACTATCGTTATGTAGATGACATTTTTGTTGACGTCGAAAATGCTGAAAAGTTAGACCTGCTGCGCATGAAACTAGGCCAGGAATCAGTTTTAAATTTCACAGTTGACCATAGCGTAGGACAGAAGCTGCCATTTTTGGACGTCATGATTGATTGCAGCAGTGGTGAATTCGTCACAGATGTGTATCGGAAGCCAACTGACCTCGGCAGGTGCATGAATGGGGAGGGTGACGTCACTGACTCGTACAAATCAGGTGTCATAAGGGCGTACATTAGACGGGCCATGAAACACTGCTCGACTTGGGATCTACTTCACACTGAACTTGAGAGGGTTCGTAAGATCCTAGTAGATAATGGGTACAGCAATTCCATGTTTGACGACGCTGTAAAAAACATGCTTGAGAACCATGTGACAAACAAGGAGCCAAAGACAAAGAAAGACGAGCTAAAAGTGTACTACCGCAGCACGATGTCTCCAACATGGAAGACGGATGAGCAGGTGATCCGCGGTATTGTTCGCCGTAACTGCCTACCTACGGATGGGGAACAGCGACTGGTAGTTCAGGTCTACTACACTAGCCCCAAGACATCCTCACTGGTGATGCAAAACAATCCCACACGCAGCACGGCAACACTCAAGCAGACCAATGTAGTATACCAGTTTAAATGTACAGCCGGGGACTGCGCGACCCGCGAAGTATACTACATTGGTCACACCACAACGTCTCTGAGCAGACGTCTCACAATGCACCTGCAGGACGGAGCCCCCAAGAAACACTACACAGAACATCACAACACCGCACTCACACGTGACGATCTCGTGACCAACACATCCATCCTAGCACACTGTCAGGATCGTAGACGGCTCGTCACACTTGAAACAGTGTACATTCGCGACAAAAAGCCAATCATCAACATTCAGACAAAGCAGAACACATCTCTATCACTGTACGACAAAGTACTCGCGGCGGGTTGACTGATTTATCTGTCATATGCGCGTACGTATCTCGCTATGGTGTTTTTGATGTGACCTTCCTTCGCGGAGGATGAACGAATGTGTTTAGGGTTATAGCTCATGTACGAAAACAAAAGTGTGTTATTTTGTTTTGAATGCTGTGACTCATCGACTGAATAGTTTTAGTATCATATCCGTAATATTTGTTCCAAAAATGTAATTGAACCCATTTATCTCAAAGTATGACTTCTAAAACTGTGTGACTGTAATTTTCTTGAAAATGATCTCTGATAGATCGAAACGTCGAACAACAATATAGCTATGATATTTTGTATTTATGACATCTTTTGGTAATATTTTACATTCTCACGAACCCGAACCTCGACAGTGCATTCGCCGCCTCGAAAGTCTTAATAAGAAGAAGATAAGTGCCCATTATGCTGTTGTGTTTAACAAAACTTGCATAAAAGAGAACCTGCTTCCGAACTATTCGAATATAATAGCCATCAAACACTGCTCCTCTTGGGCACTTATGCACCAGGAGCTGCAGAGAATCAGACAGATCCTTGTTAACAACAAGTACACGTTAAGTGACATTGACCAGGTCATCAAACGTCAAATCCGCCGACATCTCTCGCCCACTCATACTGACGCCAGTGACGAAGCACCTCAAGAGCTGCGTCTCTTTTACAAAGGCGGCATGTCATCAGCCTACAAAAAAAGACGAAAAAGTGCTACGTGACATTGTACACAAAAACTGTACTCCCATTAGGCCCTACAACAAACTCAACCTCACCATCTACTACCAGTTACGTAGCACGTCACAAATGATTATGACTAATGATCTCGCGCGTGACAACAGTGACTTAAAGGCCACAAATGTAGTGTACGAATACCATCGCCCTGTTGGCGACTGCGTGCGCCAGAAGAATTCGTCATACATAGGCTACACCACCACCACGCTGTCACGCCGAATCACAATGCACTTGCAGAACGGCGCTCCTGAAAAACACACAAGAACAAACCACGGCACCACACTCACACGTAGCATGATGGTCACAAACACCCACATCATAGCTAGATGTAACACCAAAAAGAAACTCACAGTCTTGGAAGCAGTCTTCATCAGAGATAGAGACCCTCTCATAAACAGACAGATGGATATGAAAGGGTCACTCTCGCTCTATGATGGACGGCCCCTAGCACCAAGGTTTTAGGAAGGCTTAGGATCAGATATGAATGCAAATGAGAATGATTGTCATCTCGATTGAATGGTTATTTGTGTTAAAGATGTTGATGGACGAATGTGTTAAAGATATTTATGAACGATTGTATGTACGTTAATGACATCACGGACCGGTAGAATTTGTTCTCGATACCGCAGTGTGGAAGTGTAAGGGTAACCGGAGGTGCATATACTGCTACAATTGCTTGCTCTCGTTGCTGTTTTATTTAGTTCTAGGTCACTGAAGAAATGCAAACCTGTTATCTAGCGACGCACGATCCGAACCATAGATGTACTTTTTTCTGTTTTTGTGCCTTATATGCATGTCTGAAGATGTTAACGGATATGTTGACGAAACGTTACCTGGCAATATAGGCACTATTTTACATGAATTTTCCTTAGATGATCGAAAAACTGTGAGAAGCCTAGAGAATCTTGGCAAGAAGCAAAACAACGCCCGTTACGCTGTCATTTTCATTGAAACATGTATTCGTGAAAACCTGCTTCCCAACTTCACTCATAGACCAGTAGAACGCCTTTTGGGGCGACTAACGGAGCGAGCGAGAGGGTGGGCCTTGCACGTGCGAAATTGCGAGGGGGTACCTCCAACTGACTTGTGCACGGCACCATACTAAGCCGCCTCTAGCGATGTGCCCAATTTGAGCACAATCGGCCCAGCCGTTCTCGAGATCTGGAAGCGGCACCCTGCACGTGCGCACGTGCAAAATGGGTCCCAACTGACTTTTGCAAGGCACCCTTGACCCTACTAAGCGGTCCATAACTGCATACCAAATTTGAGCGCAATCGGTCCAGCCGTTTTCGAGATCTGGAATCGACTCCTGCACGTGCGCACGTGCAGCAGCACCCCAGCTGTGGCACATGCAAATGCATTGCCTAGTGGGTGCCTACCTACATGCCAAGTTTCAGCGCAATCGGCCAAGTAGTTACCGACATATTGCAATTGTTACAAAACTGACACCTCTTCGTTTTGCACGTGCGGCACGTGCATAAGAGGTCACCCACATGCATCGGGAATAGTTCGATACTTGGTAGAAGGAATGAAGCTACCCTATACAAAAATTACCGCGTGTAAATCGGTCAAGTTGTTGCTGAGATACAAACGTTGCAAAAGCGTAACCACGGCCGGCCGGCCGCTCATACTCAGAAATTTCCGTTATTCTACGTACTCCGTTATTCTACGTAAAACTCCGGCCGGGTCAGCTGAGGTCAAATATGAGGTAAGATAGGTAAGCCCAAATTACTTTTTTTCTAATAACGACTGGCACACAGTGATACTTAACATATAAAAGTGCTGTCATTGCGCTCCTTCGGATCAGCCGAGTCGAATGAAATGCGATATGATGCATTTCAGCGAAGTTATGAACTTAAGTAGGTAATTAATTAAAGCTCGCAATTTTCGCGAACTTTTAAAGTTCACTTAAACTGGTAAAGAAGCTACACTTTTCGATGCGTTTTGATGTGCCGATTTTACTGGTGCTTTTATTTTTGCTCTATTTTTACTACATCAAAACTAATAAGGGAAAACCCATGGCGTGTGTTAACAAAAAAAGACATTTAATACGCCCCCTAAAACCCCCTAAATATTCAATTGGAGCCCATAAATTTGTAAAGGAGCGATATTTATTTGACATCAGCTCCTATTTTTTTTTTTTGCATGGCTGTCGTGTTTCGGCCTTTAGACAAAAATAACATCAGCCGCGGCGATTTGTCTGCTAGTATAACTGGCCTACAAGGTCCAGATGAACAATAGCCGTCTTCACGACGGGCTATCCAGCGAATGCACCTAATTTGACCAAATCTGCACCTAATCTCTTTTACAGCAAATATCTTTATTTTATGAATTTATTTCAGTGTTTTAATCGATGATACTCTCTGATAATAATATGACAAGCAGGCATATACAATTAATGTAAACAATTAGCGCAACCCTAGCTGATAGCTACTAAGAGATACACTGAACCTAATTTGACCAAATCTGCACCTAATCTGCACCAAATGTGCACCAAATGTGAAATCTGTACCAGATGGATGGCCGTCGTGAAAACGGCTAATATCAGAGTGTTTGGCTTCCCAGCAATGTTTTCCGGCATTCATCGAACGTATCACATTCCTTCGTCGTCTGAAAATCAAACAAGCCGTGCCGCAGATAATTGCCAGATAATTTGTGTTACATTTGTCTTGGAAATGCATAGTTACATTAGAGAACTGTGGAGACTGGAGAGTGGAGAGCGAGTTATTGGAAAATCATCATAGCCAACTGTGCATTGTCCTTGATAACGGAGTCA